ATTTTTGACGTAGGACAATGTCTTTTGGGAAGGGTGCCAATTCAGGGAAATGCAACGAAAATTGGTCAGACTTTAAATGCTTATAACTTGGCCAATAATCAATGGATTTTGATGATTTGTGCGTCGATCGATTTATCAGTGTTATAAGATTTGTGTGGTATGTCGCACATTATAATTGATAAATATTTAACTAGTTAACAATGAATATATATATATGTAAAAATTCAAATTTATCATACATAACACAGCCATCAGAAAGTTCAATCATTTCAATCATTCAACGTTGCAAGTTGGACGGTTTGACCTCGGACTTGTTCGCTGCAGCGTGGACGTCGTAGAATTCCTAGCAGCTCAATACATGCACCTCACACCAATGAAAAACAACCAGACGCAGATGCAAATTGGTCCAGCGAAATGGAAAAGCTGCATTTACCGTCCTGAAATTCGCTGCCATGGTCCATGGGTTATCTTTGCCAAACACGTACCTAAAATTCCGTCGAACATCCAGCTCATCGGAGTAGCTGCCTGCTGAGCAGTTGATTGAGCATGATCATAAGACATCAGCGCATTGAACCATTGATAACTTTCCATGCTTGCATTTAATCAAAAAGTAGTTTTGAACAAAGTTGTAGCTGGAAAAATTTCCTACAAGTAAAGTTGAAAGCTTTTGAAGCAGACCGATATGGTGAATTATTAGATAGACATGAACAAAAATCTTGGTTTTACCATAGTAATTCCCATACAAACTTCAAATGGTTTGTGCCATCTCAGTTTCTCACCAAATGGGTTCAAATTTTGAGAGGTTAGTCAGGATCCGATTTGGAATCGTTTAAGTATTGTGGAGCAAAAATTTCAAATTTTGCATCACTCTAATGGTCATTTATCCAATTTTAATCACACCATTTTATTCAGGTTGAATGTAAGATTTGTTTGGTAATGGTTAATTATTTAAAATTGATCGAAGTGTTTAGCCGTAATCAACCAATCGCGTGCTCGGTCGCTATGATTATCGAGATAACAGAGAGACGAACTGGTACTCAATAGTCAATATCATTTTCGTCTGCTTTTTTTTCTATTCATTCACCTACGTCAGCAAAATACAGGAAAAAGGAGGGGCATAGAATGCTAATCTAAATGCTTAAGCAAGGGAAACGTAGAAAGTTTGACTGCACTCATCGTTTGACTGCCGAGTGATAAACAGGGGTGCTCGTTGCGTTGTACACTGAAAACTAAACTAACTCAGAGATTTGCTTACTCATTTGTGCGTCACTTTTACTCATTCGCTTACTGAACTCAAACTTTGGAGTATTTTATTTTCCAACCCACTTTTCGGTTTATTTGCTTATGAATGAGAAGTGACAGTTCCTCTCCATTCATTCGTAAACCTATTTTTGCAACTGGTTTGGATTGATAATTAAGTGTTTCAAAAGTGATTTTGAAGTTGATCAAAATGTATAAAAATGAATTGATACGCGTTCGTGAAAGCGTATCCGGAAACTGAAAAATCTGTGTGCCAAACCGATGGCATGAAGTTCTGTAATGAAATGAAATTCAACGAATCCCAAGGCAAGCATGAAGTGAACTGGAGGCACTTGTTTGCAACCGAAAAGCCATAATGTTGCAGTTTTGCTGCAGCAAAGCCTTGGAAAGCTGTTGTTTAAGATTCAGAGCTACCTAAATGTAAAGAAGTTCCCATCGAAGTTTCACCACAACCCAGCACATCCGGTTGTCAGAAGCGTCCAGCGTCTGCACAGGAGAGGCTTAAAACTTAACTGAACGATGTGAAGGAGCAAGTTTTACGCCTCAAAGAACCTAGTTCAGCTGGCTTAATGACCAACGCAGAGTTCGAAAAGCTTCGTGGATTGACCAATAAAAGGGTAAAATTGGAAAAAGATTTGAATTCGAAAATTTCTGAACAGGAGAGACAGCAAAAGCACAGGGATCAGGTGAAGTTTTCGAAACAGAAGTTAATTGAAGCAATCTCAGAAACAGGTATTCAATTTATTAAAACATATTGAATAAATAAGATAACATAATCATAAATAAATTACAACGCAAGAATGACTATTGGTCGCCCACGTCTGGAGGAACAGCAATCAGAGCTTTTGAAATCGATTCGTGATATTGCATTGTACGGTTCAGTAACTCAAGTAGATTGATGTAGTTGCCAGTGCTGAGATTTGTCATTGTCATTGACAGACTTTCGCTCGATATTGACAAAATTGTTCGTCACATAGTCACTGACAGACTTGATCCTCAAAAAAACCTTCGTCAAAATCTCATTCATTTTTTCGTCAATGACAAAGATTCACCTGGTAACAAAAAGTGTAATTTAGTACATTCTGTGTCACATTATTGTTATCCAAGTAGCTCAGGACGTAGATACTTGTTCACTGAAATGGATCCATGTAATTGTTTTGCTCAAGTAAATTAATTTCGTTACTAATTTAGCCAATAAACAAATCTGCACATGTTCGTCACTGACACCATTGTCATTGACAATTCCCCACATGGTTTGCCTTGACTATGACTGCTAGCTCAAATGAGTGACCAAAGCAGAATTGTCAATATCACCGTGTACTGTCGAGATTTTGCAGCACTGGTAGTTGCATTCCGAAGCCAGGATGATAAGGTGAGGGTGGTAGTAGGTCTAGCGGCTCACAAACAAGCACCCATACTACTTCTTCTTCTTCTTCTTCGCATTTCAAGCTTATTACATATCGCTTATTGCGTGCTCTCAACTTAGTGTTCTAGATGCACTTCCACAGTTATTAATTGAGAGCTTTCGATGCCTGTATCATTTTTGCATTAGTATAATTGTGTGGCAAGTCCAATCATACTTCTATGCCCAGGGAAGTCAAGAAACTTTCCAACCCGAAAAATTCCTAGACCGGACCGGGAATTCAACCCAGCCACCTCCAGCATGGTCTTGCTTTGTAGCTGCGCCTTTACCGACTGAGCTAAGGAAGGCACCCATACTAATGCACGTTAAATACACGCTGACTCTCCCAGATCACGACTGGATTGTAGTCAAGCAGAAGCAGTTGGATACTCAGGTCCAACTTATGATGCCATACGGTCAGGGAAACATGCCTCTTCTACTGCCGACTCACTGCTATCGACTTCAAGCGGCTGTTAGAACTGGAAGAGTTTGAATCTATAATGAAAGTAGTCGTGGTGTCATCAAGGTCCGGATGGAAATCCACGCTCTTTGAAAAGTTGTACTGGTAGCTGATCACCACTTTCTAACATGGATGCATTTTTTATCGCCACGAATGCTTCCGGGAGAAGTATATTCAATCGCGTGGAAAGGAGAATGGCACCTCTTAATAAGGAGTTGGCTGGGCTGATCATCACTCATGATTACTTTCGATCGTATTTGGACTCACAACTTCGCACTACGTATATGGAGCTTGGAAAGAAACATAAGTTTTCAGGAGAGACGTTGGCTGGAGTATGGGGTGATTTATCAATTAATGGTTTCCCTACGGTGGTTGAGTATATTGACTAGAATACTTCAAAAGTTGACCCAAAAGCACTTGAATGCCGCGATCAGTTCCGTTGGCACAATCATCTGAGGGGCTAACAGTTGCTATCAGAGACAATTTGCTGGTTTCAAGATTCTCCCATATGATCTGTACTGTCCGTCGCTTAAAAATTCTTTGAAAGACAAAGTATGTGTTATTTTGTCGGTCTCTATTTCGCATCCCAGGTGATGCTGAGAGAACACAACAAAGTACACAGAATGACTCAAGCCGCTAGAAAAGTTGCTCCAAAACGGATTGCTCCTAGGCGTCAGCATGAAATTCTCATCCTTCCAAATGGAGCTGACGAATTCGAATGTTGTGATGGAAATGAAGGTCGATACTGGAACGAATTTTCTTCTGACATACTGGAGGCTGCTGAAACGTACCCGATCAAAGCAATCGGTGATTATCTGCAGTGCCCATGGATGAAAGAGTTAAGGGAAATGGATGTAATGTCGGCCTAAATGTTCCTAATTTGAGCCCATACATAAATATAGCAATCCACTAATTTTTTCAATTGCGACCAAAAATATCCATTAGTACCGTCCCAATGACGCGTTCATCTAGACAAAATTGATAAATAGCAGATTTTTAGCGATGGGCCCAATCTTAGATCCATAGGCCAACATTGGAGCCATTTCCTCTATATGCTTGAAATGATTGATTTTTTTTTCTTGTGAGATGACTTTTTTATGTTTGATTTTTGTTCATGCAGTTATTTTACGATAAATTAATATTGAAGTTGAAATAAAAATGTTAAAAAATGGAGGGTAGGGGAGTGTAGAACGTGACGTATTTTTCGATGCGGGAGGGTTTAAAATCTATGAACGCGTGAGAAGGGGGGGGGGGGGTTTAAAATTTTCCAGATTTGCGTGTCGTACTAAATGTAAGCCACCTTAGATGTGCGGCCTAATGACCCAATCGGTCTAGTGGAATTAGGCCTAATGACCCATAACCCTTAAACCAAATTTCAAGTCCTGAATTACCTACACGAACAAAAGAGCATTGTTAAGTTTGAACAATTTTAAAACGGGCTTTTGGATCAAATAAATAAATAAATATTTAAACGATACCCAATCAACGACTCCGTTCGGTTTTGTCGAAAAAAAAGGCCCCCACTGTTCATCAATAATGGCTTCGCATTTACTCGCATACCTAGAGAGAACCTCCCTCAACCCACACCCATCATCGTCTGATGCAGCTGCACAGTTGCATTTCCGTTTCTCTTTGCTCCCTCCCCGCTCGGTCCCACCCACCAACATCGCCCATCGCACATCACACCTTCGATTTTATCTTTAGCTCACCGCACGCGCCACGCACACTCTTTCTCTGTCTCTCTTTCTCTCGCTCGCACACACAAAAACGATCTAAAGAAACGCATCATTTCGCGTCTTAAGGGCAAGGTCAGCAGCGGTGTGCGAAAGACGACAAATTTCAAGGTTATTCTTTGTGGGGTTAATTTTAGCCACCTACCTGATATGATGACAGGAACGGATCACGGCTATCGTCCAGCGGGACGACATCGAGCGGACCGGCACCGAATCCACCTCCGCCCATTCCGCCGACACCGCCACCACCACCAGAGTTTGGCAGCCCGGATTTGCCCGGATAGGAAGTGCTGCGACGATACTTGGAGGGGGAGTTGATGAGGTTCGAAGCGACGGAAAGGGACTGCTGGAGGTGAGATGGGGGTTGTTGTTGTTGTTGTTGCTGTTGTTGCTGCTGCTGCTGTTGTTGTTGTTGTTGTTGTTGCTGCTGGTGCAGGTGGTTGGCGTATGGCGAGAGGGCTTGGGATTGGGAGTTGGGATTGTGCGGTTTGCGTTGGTGGAGTTGGTTGGTGAGGCCGTTACCAAGGTTCATGTTCGGAACGGAGCGGCCACGGTTCCAGGAGTTCATGGGATTTTGATTTTGCTGGGTGTGCTGTTGCTGTGACCAGGGACCAGCGGGGGCAGGATTGGACCAGGTTGGGTAGGAGTTTTTAAACTGATTCTGCTGGGGTTGGTTTTGAGCGGAGCCATGGTGCTGGAGCATATGATTGGGACCGACTGTGTTCGAGGATAAGCCATGATGGGGGAATCCTCCGTGGGAAGCAGTGATAGCACGACGTTGCTGCTGGGCAGCGGCCGCGGCAGCTGCGGCAGCCACAGCGGCACCGTTGTACATGTGGTTGTTGGAATAGTTCTGGAATCCACCCAGGCCGTTGATCGAGATATGGGAACTGGCAGCGGTGGTTGGATCATCGATACTGTTGGACCATGGGCTGTGGTCCGGAGTGGCTCCAAAGTTTAAGCCAGTCGGTGGAAGAATCATGTGCGATGAGGTTCCGCCATTCATCAGGCTGGAAGTCACGCTGAGGCAGCTCAGGTCGGCCGCTTTGAGGCCGAGTTCTTCGGCAGCACTGGGAAGATGCAGTTCGGAGTTTTCGATCAGTAGATTGTTGTTGGCGGCGTTCGGGTTGTTGTTATTGTTGTTGTTGTGACTGTTGAGGGAAACGATCGGTGAAGCTCCGGAGCCTCCTCCGTTCAGCAGCGACGAGGTCGAAGTATCGTCGTCGGACTGTGCCGCGTTCAACTGGAGCGATAGAGTGTTGACACTGGACGCAGTTAGCGAGCACTCGGACGAGATGGCTGTCGTGATGGTTGGAATGGTTCCGGCCGAGTTGCTGGACGCAATCTGTGAGTGAGCGATCAGCATTCCAGACTCATCGACGCCACTGCCTCCGACGACACTGGTCACGATGCTGTTGCTGCTAGTTGGCATGGTTGACTTTTTGGCGCCACAGGACGACGAGTTGTTGTTATCGTTGACGATGGAGTCCACCGAGTTTGAACTTGCTCCGTTCGACGGTTCCGAAGCCGAGGGACTTAGACCACCACCCACCGAGTTGCCTGCTCCGTTCGAAAGGTGCTTGATGTTCAGCAGATTGTTGATACTCAACGTGTCGAGCAACGACTGGCTGGACACGCACGAATCATTCGCCAGTACCGAACCACCGTACAGAAAATCACCCATTTAAGAAGCGGATTCAAGTTCACCAAACGCGCGCGCTATTCGGAACTAGCTGGATCAGTTTATCTTCCGGGGTGCTTCGCTTCTGGTTAGACGGTAAGTTTTCTTAGTTTCTTCACCAATGATTCATATAGCGATGAAAGATCTTCACAAACGCATCACTTTCCACACAAACAGGTTCTTCATACAAATTTTTTTCGACTTTTAAAATGAAGAAAAATAAACACTTTGACTAGATTAAATTTCTTAAAACTACACACATCAACTGTAACTACCTCGGTTAGCTCGATAAAAAGTGCTTTGCTTTTTATTTAGAAAACTAAACTCTGGATATCGCGCAATCAACCACCGTCACACAAATCTTCTCACTTGCAATGATTTATAAAATGTTACAAAAAGCGACCGTTGAAAACGAACTCTTGGCTAGCGATATCTTTCTTAAAGCCTCTTCGATTAAGCGAACACAGAATGCGACAATGCTGTTGGTTGGTTTTCTTCCGTATCACTTCTTCAAACGTAGACACACTCGCCTTCGGTTCTGTTCAACTTTCGGACGAATTCTTCCCGGCTGCCTTAAGCGCGGTTCAGCACCTGCCTAAATCTGTACAAAAACACCCCCACGATTAGCTATTTCCTGCTGCTGCAGCTCCGTCGTCACCCTTCCAATGGTGCGTCACCCTTCGACTACGGCCAGCGCTGTTCGACGATTCTTGCGAAAGCACTTGCTACCCGACCCGAACAAGAGTTTTCCACTTCCGGGCAGTTGCAGAAATATCCGAAAGCGCGTTTGCTTCTCTTTTCCTGGGAAATAGCCACACACAAACACGGTTTTCTTTGCCTCTGTGAGATGATGTTACACGACCGCACCGAGTGAAGCTTTGCTACGTTCTGGTTGCGTTGGCACGGGAAACTTGTGTGCCTGCTCGATGGGGGAATTCGTGAAGTCTACCCGCACAGAGCCAGGATCCGAGAGCTTTCGGGATCCCCCCACGAACCATCACGATGAAGACGAACGTAACGAAGACGGCACCGACGACGGAGAGTGAGTTCCCATCCGAACGGGAACCGACGTGTGCGTGACGTCAGAGAGAAACTACGCTACGCAATTCGTAGCCTAGTGCCACGGTAGCCCAGTTGTATGCGGACTAACCACCCATCATCGCCATCATCATCATCATCATCGTCATCATCATCATCATCATCATCGTCATCGGAAAAGCAGTGCAGCACGTCTTCCGGCGTTCGTACCCGAACGCATCGCGAAATAAGGGGAATTTCGGCAGGACATGCGCGCTGTGACCTTCAATCGCTAATCGCTTGAAGGTGGTAACTCACGCTCTCACTCTCGCCATCATCACCACCCCCTGAACCGATACACACCACTTCTGTTAATCTGTTGTCGGTACGCGAACTCAAGTCGTCAGGAATAATCAATCCTGCAGGAGGGTTTTGATAAAGAGCCGTCCTATGCCTACCCACACATATCCCTACCAGCGAATCCCGTACTCACTACCACCAATAGCATTTCCCAGTCCGCACCACACCGGGGCAAGAAGCCATCATCATCATCATCCATCCGTCCGTCCCGTCGACCGAATCGAAAAAGCATCGGAGGAAAGCAACACCGAAATCCTGCACACCAAATCCAAAAGTTGTTGTTACTACAACCCGTCCGTCTGCACTGCACGCAAGTAGTAAGGGAAAAACTTCGTCTTGGAAAAACCTACTGACACAGAAAATTAGTCTCCCGTCACCCCTCGGCACCCTTGGCCGAAGGAGCACTAGCCGGCTTTTTTTTAGTTAAACGTGATGGTTGCAGGGGGTTGCGGAGCGAGAGTGAATGGAAGTGGAAAGAGGGGACTCGTGGGACCAACCCTTGAAAACTGGATGCGTTTCCTCTTTGTTTTGCTGGCGATTGGAAAACCGGACGAACGCACCGACATCAGGGGAGTGCAAAAAGGAGCAATACCGATACTCGGTCCGGGGTGGATAATAACGGCCGGGTTTGGATTGATACACATTTGAGAGAAGGGGGAATAACTGGCAACCGTGCGGTGGATAATTTTGGTGATGTAGGTGGATAGTTTTTTTGCTAGGGGATTTGGGAAAGCGTTGATCGGTTTGGACAGAAAATGCTTGGCTATACACTTCTTTAATACTGCCGAGATTTAGACAGCCAAAGGGCTGTTCATTTACTACGTAGACAGCTGCTTAGTCAATTGTCCATACATTTTTTTAATTTGCATGGGCCGTGGATAATTGACAACCCCCCCCCCCCTAAACTGTCGCAGGAAGTTTATAAACAGCCCCAAATTAGGTCGGGATTTTATGGAGGGGAAGGCTCAGTGACAATTCAAGAGCAAATTTTCATTACGTCGAATGTAACAAAGGTAAACAAAGTCGAGCTATCAGTGTCAATCGATTCTCCTGCTATTACACTATATACTGTCCGAATATAGGATCAAATCACATTTTTAAATTTATTTGCCAGTCAAATTGCTTTTTGACGTAATCACCTTCCGATCAAAATAGTTTTCGATGTTACTTAAGTCACCCAATTTCTATGGAGATGCCGTTTGACTTAAGTAACAGTGCTGAGAAACCCGTGAAAAGTGTATGTTCGTCGTTTCGCTGTCTCATTATTAAAGTGAATAAATCGAACTGTTTGTTGCTAAGATGATTTCGGTAGTCCTAAAATGATGAATGGGCTGCACGTAAGGAGACGTAATTGATAATTCTCCCGAATATCCTGGTAAATACACTTTGACTTAAGCAACAATAGGGGCCACCAAACGACGTATAATGACTTTTGACTCAAAAACCAGTATTTTTAGCATGAAAGCTAGCGATTTGCATTTGTATGATTAAAACCCTGCTAAATATGTTAAACATTGCTATCACTATGAGATTATATGTGTTTACTTGGAAATAGGAATAACTTTTCGGTCATCAAAACAAAACTTTATTTTTCTCGGATTGGTGCGAATGTTACCTACGACATAATGAAAATTTGCTCTTGAATTCACACACCGATTTTGGTCAGCGATTCCAAATCAGAGCAGTTCCACTTCAAATGACGAATCGATCAGACTAGACCTCTTCCGACTTGCATGAAATTTTGCATATTTGTTTGTTATGGGCAATCATTCGCATTTCCGAAGTGATTTGAGATTTGAGCGTAATTTATTTTGTAAACAAACACGTCAATCGCCGATTTCTCTTGAAAAAACCTCAATCTCGTAAACAAGCTATGCCAAATGAATGAGCAATAATTCCTTCACCTCATAGTGTTATTAGTTTTTGAAATTGAGCTTTCATTTGCGAGAAATCGGCGATTGACGTGTTTGCTTACAAATGTTTCAAATATTAAATAATGGTAATGCTAACGTTTATTACTGATTAGGAAAATTACGTTTATTCGATAAAAGCACATGTTTAAAATTGAAAGGTAAAGAGAGGTACATATGTCAAAAACACTCAGTGCTGCCAGTCTGTTCAGGTGCGGAAGCCAGTGTGTACAGAAACGTTGATTTGTGTATGAAAACATAACACATTTCCCTCCTTTAACGGCCATCTGGCGAGAAGATGATTCGTGGCTTCCTGGCTCTTGTCGACCTTCGTGGAGCTGCTGGAGGTGTTACCACTCCACTAGCATCGCGGGTGATGCTCGGGGTGGTGAACTGCTCACCACCACTGTTTTTTTATACCTGGGGTGATGGTGGCTGTTCCTGAAGACCGGCTGTAGTGGAACCGTCGATTGGTGTTGATTCCAACGCAAATCGTGAAGAATATGGATCTGGTTTGTCACTCATACCACAGCCATTTCTCGGCAAACCAGGTACGCGATTCTGGAGCTGATCGATATGCCGTTTACACTTTTTGCCATTATAGTCAACCTGATAGTGCAAGTCTCCTAAGCGAGCCGAAATTACACCGGAGACCCATTTATCCATCCGTGGGTTGAAAGACCGAAAATAAACTGGCTGGGAGACGCCAAACTCACGAAACGATGAATCCAACTTATTTTTCTGTTGTTGGCAGATTCTTGTAGTGAGATCCGCTGGCAGCAGTAGATTTAGGCGTGTTCGAATGTTCCTACCGAGAAACAGTTGGCATGGCGGTTGACCAGTAGTAGAATGAGGTGCTCTTCTGTATTGTCGAAGAAACTCGTTCAAATTGAGTTGAATGTTGCTTCCCGTTGTATCCATTGCTTTCAAAGCATTCTTCACTGTCTGGACACAACGCTCGGCCTGTCCATTGGTTGATGGGTGGTACGGAGCAGTTAACTTGTGATACCTTACGCCTACCATCCGAAGATAAGTCTTGAACTCAGTAGATGTAAAATTAGTTCCATTATCTGAAACAATAGTTGTGGGTACTCCATACGCTGCAAAAAGTTCATCTAGGAGAGCAATTGTAGCACTAGCGGTCATGCTGATGGTAACCTTCACCTCGATCCACTTACTATACGCGTCCGTGATTATGAGTAACATCACTCCAAGATACGGCCCAGCATAATCTATATGAATGCGCTCCCACGGCGCCTTCGGGTACTCCCACACGGGATCGCGAAACTTTGGAGGATCGTTGGCATTTTTGGCACATTCATGACACTCCTTTGCAGCGCGCTCGATGTCCGCATCGACTCCGGGCCAATAAATAAACGATCGCGCCAGCCCCTTCATCTTCACTATTCCTAGATGTCCGACGTGTAAATCCTTCAGTACAGCTTCCTGCAAAGAGCGCGGTACTACCACCCTGTGTTCATATACTAGACATCCAGCTGCAGTTTTGTAGGTGATTTCGGGGGACTTGAAGCCTACACAATCTTGCCCAAGACGTCATCTCGCCGTGTTTCCTGGGCGATTCGTTGAGCATGGATTGGTAGCTGTTGGATTTGATGCAACATAAAACAATCGAATGCATCGAACTGTTCGTCTCGTCCGATAGTCATCTCTCTCAATAGGTTTACTCCACACCCTGGAACAACACGGGAACAGTAGTCTGCGTTGACATTTTCCTTCGTTCGTTTGAAAACAACGTCGAAATCGAAGTTTCCCAGAAAATCGGCGTAGTTGGCCATACGACTAATGCAAAGCGTCGGAAGCGATTTTTCTGGATGTAGTATCTGTGACAGCGGCTTGTGGTCAGTTATTAATGTCCAGTGATGTGCATACAGGTACATGAAAAATTTCTGCACAGCCCAAACTATCGCAAGGGCCTCCTTATCCATTTGTGGGTAGCGCTGTTCTGTCGTGCTTAACGTTCGACTGGCATAAGCTATCGGTCTTTCCACTCCATCACTCAGACGTTGCGACAACACCGCCCCCAGTCCTGTACTACTGGCATCCGTTGCTAGCAGTAATGGAAGCTCCGGATCGTACTGCATTAGCACCTGTGGTGAAATCAATGCACTTTTGATTTCTGCGTACGCTGTCTCGGCGCTTGCTGTCCACTTGAATCTGTCGTGGAGTAACATATCTCGAAGAGGCCTGTCCCGTGTGGAACGGTTAGGAATAAATGCGCTGTAATAAGTTGCCTTTCCCAGAAACAGCTGTAGTTCTTCGGGGCTCGACGGCTTTTTTGCATCCCGTATTGCTTCAATATGCCTGTCCGACTTTTGTACTCCTGCAGCGTCGATTTTATGTCCCAGGAACTCCACAGCAGGAGCCCCGAACACGCACTTTGAACGATTTAGGCGAAGTCCATTAGTTCTCAGCCGCTCCAACGTTTTCTCTAGCACATCCAACATCTCCTCGAAGCTTGCCGCATGTATCAAAATGTCGTCGTAGAAATTCACAACATTCGAAAGTCCTTGTAGAACCGTTTCCATTCGCCGTTGCCAAATTGCAGGAATATTGGCAGCACCATATACAGCTCGTGTGGGTCGAATCAACCCGTGCGTAGGTGTATTCAGCGTTAGAGCATGACCAAAATCATCGTCAACCGTCAAATGGGAATACGCATCGGTTATATCGAGATGACAGAAAACCGCCGCACCTTTCATTTTGTGAAAAAGATAGTCTGCACGGGGAATTGGATGCTCATCAATTATCATTCGGGCATTCAAAGTTGGCTTGTAGTTACCTGTAATCCGAATCGTTCCATTCTTCTTGGCGACGACGTGAGTAGTAGATGCCCATTCAGATGATTCCACACGCTTGTAAAGACCGGATGAAATTTTCTTGTCTATTTCTCTGGCGTACGCATCTCGTAAAGCGAATGGAATTTCCCGTGCCTTTGAGAAGACTGGAGATGCTCCTGGTTTCAGATGTAGAGTAGCCGGAGGGCCAGCCAGCTTGCCAGCAGTCTCGCCGAATACACCATCGAAACGTGAGATGAGATGCGACAGCCGTTGCTGCTGTTGCTTGGTGATTACTGGTTCCGCTGCGGTAAGTGTGTTCACTTGCTCATCCGTGCCAAACAACTGCACAAAGTCAATGTCGTATGCAAATTGCGCAATCCATTCTCTACCGAAGAGTGAATCGAAATCTCCGTCTACGACGTACAAGTTTAGACGCCGGGAGGTCCTACCCAACGTAACATTCACTGGCAAGCGGCCGATGCAGTGAATTCTATGCCGCGTGTAACTGGCAAACTGTCTTTCCGATTTGTGCAGGCAAAAACTAGCTTTGATCTTGCGAAGCGTACACAGGCTCACGATTGCACACGGCGCCCCTGTGTCTAATTCCATCTTCACAGCCTTTCCATCAATCTGAACTTCTAGCATCTTCCTGTCCAGAGGTTCAACTGACGAGATGACATCAACTTTCTGCAAAGCCTCCGTGTGATCGGCGTAATCGGATCCCTCATCCGATAATGGAGACAGTTCTTCCTTGACTTGAGCCGTCTTCGATCTACATACCTTCGACAAATGTCCCTTTCTGTTGCAAGCAAAACAAACCGCATCCCGGAATTTGCAGTATTTTCGCTCATGGCGGCCTCCACAGCCATGGCATGTTGGAGCACGATCCTGGTTGCTCGAGCCTTGACGAAAGCTTCCTTTCTTTACATCCGTTGACACATAACCCAACTTGTTTGTTGTTATTGTCGTTCCGGCCGGATCCGTTGTCACTTCTACAGATGTCTTGTGTGTAGCTTCCATTGTGTGCGCAACCTTGTAGGCAGCGTCAAACGTCTCCGGGTTTTTCGCAATAATTTCATCGCACATTCCGCGAGATTCCAAGCAAAAGAGTAACTGTTCGATGAGCATACGGTCCAAAAAATCTCCATACTCGCAATGAGCAGCAGTCTGTCGTAGTCGCAAAGCAAAACTCGCAATACTCTCTTCCGGCTCCTGGCGCAGTTGGCGAAATTTAATGCTTTCAGCATACTTATTTTTCGGCCGGTCGAAGTGTTCCACCAATGTTGTTTTTATCGCAGCGTATGTCAAATCCTCCGGTTGCCTTGGGCTGACGAGAAATTTGAGTGCGTTGTTCAGTTCAATTCCCATATGAACGCGAGCATATGCGGCATGGTCCGCCTCCCGGATTCTGCTGAGGTTGAGCGCCCAGTCGAAACGCTTGAAATAGTCCTCCACTGATGAACCGTCCGATGTCTTGAATTCTCCGATTGCGAAAGCTGCTGGTTTTGAGCCTCCTTCTTGTGCTGCATTGGCACCGCCGGCTGCTGCTGCTGAAACTTCCTGAACTGCTGCTTTTAGCGCATTGGTGAAAACAGTAGTAAGGCTCTGTAGCACCTCCGCTGGAATGGACATTTTATCCAACTTCTGACACCACTTTCAAATATTAAATAATGGTAATGCTAACGTTTATTACTGATTAGGAAAATTACGTTTATTCGATAAAAGCACATGTTTTAAACTGAAGGGTAAAGAGAGGTACATATGTCAAAAACACTCAGTGCTGCCAGTCTGTTCAGGTGCGGAAGCCAGTGTGTACAGAAACGTTGATTTGTGTATGAAAACATAACAAAATGCAATAACGTCCAAATCTCATACCACTCCGAATTTGTGCTAAAATTCGGCCTTTTTGAGACTTGAAATTTTGTTCAAGATGGCGTATTTGACATTTTTCAATAGATCGTAGCACGGAAACGTCACTTCAAATCGAAATGTCTTCCGAGACGAAGTTGTAGGAATAGGGAAAATGGATGTAATGTCGGCCTAAATGCACCTAATTTGGGCCCATGCATGAATTCGTTTAGATAAAATTGATAAATAGCAGATTTTTAGTGATAGGCCCAATCTTAGATCCAACATTAGAGCCATTTCCCTACATAAATACTTTCTAGCAAAAATAAAAATGGTGGGATAAGGAATTTTAATTTTAGTTTATTTACGCGGTGATGATGTTAGTTCACTCGCAACTATTTTTGAAAAAAATTAAGTGTTTTCGAACGAAATTGTACCAAAAGTGCTTCTGAACGTGTTTCGTAGTTGGGTGTGGTGAAATTCGTGCATTCCCGGTTGATTTTGGAAATCGTATCACAAAATTGCCCACCGATTCCTTTTTTTTTTGCCGTTCGACGACGACGGGTGTGCTTTCGCGAGAGTGACGTTTATTTGATCCGTTTCTTTGCACGGGTTTGCGTAAGTGTGCCTGCGATTTGCATTGAGTGTCAGAGATCGTAAGTAATCTGAAGGATGCCTCGCTGGATACGCCCAAGACTGGACGGGCAGTAGCTGGTGGCCGTGAACGGTTCCTAGGGAAAGCACTAGATGTGACCCTCCTCCCAGATGACCATGGCAATACAGGAAGTATGGGTATTGGAAGGTAATTGCTATTAGATATTTTGCAAACAGTGACAGATAGCGGACATGAAGAACCAGTGAAGGTGCCGGGCAAAGGTGTTTATCCTAGACAAATGGAAAGTTACAAATTATCTGTTGTTGTTGTCGTAGGCGCCATCGTAGTCGCAGTCGTAATCGCCGTCGTAGTCGTAGGCAGTACCGTTAGTATATTTAAAATTAACCACCAACCGCTGAAAATATGAATTATCGCGTATTTCTGTTGTTCATTATGTACCAAGTAAAATTCGAGAACGTAATTTCATTTGAATAGCTTGTTCAACTAGGTCTTAAACAATCGTCACGTCGGTCATAGCTTGTTATGATTACCTGAACCATGCGTAAAGAGAAAATCGAAACATTTAACGTCGCGTGAAAATGGATCTTAATGAAGGCCTCTTTCATAGCTTTTAGTTTAAGGATTTAAATGATCGTCGGTTGCAGTGGCTTGCTTACTGAGCAAAAAAACGCGGTCCCAGATCCTTTCATATTAAAAATGTATGGTTAGATCACTTGTTTATCGTGTAGTTCGTAAAACTTTTCGTTGTCGTCGGTGCCGGGTCTGAATAGTCATAAAAACTTGAGTAACGCTATAATGTGATATGAGGGGCTCGGTGGCCTTAGCACAACCGGTTTTGCTTACTGAGCCGAACATCATGAGTCTAATCTCAAGCCCATCCACATTCAAGATTCGTCAATCGTTTTATTTGTTAACATAACTAGATGGTAATAACAGCAACTAGATGATTAAAAAGGAGCTTGTCTGCCTAGTGGCAAACGTTTTTGCTTACTGAGCAGAAGACCGTGGGTTCAATCTCAAGCTCCTTCGCGTTATATGGTTGTTAGGACATCAATTCAGCTTATCGTTTACCAAAACGAACCCTGCTGCAAACCCAACCCTATTACCCAACCCTCTTACCCAACATCCCAGTGATTCCTCGTGGAAGTGCAGAGGTGTTCTCGGCTTCCATCAAAGCGAGTGTCACGTCAACACATTCCTACCCCTTCCTTTCTTGACCTGTGTTCGGGCGCGGCCGGCGCTGGTGTTGCCTAGTTTGAGACCACCAGTTTTTACACATTGAAGATGATTGCTAGTCCCAAGCATCGTCTATTGGTTCTCTGTGTAATTACAGCTGGTCTGGCAATAACAGAGTAGCAACCGTGGGCGGTCAATCATGCTCATGCTGCTCATGCTCAAAATAAAAATTGTGGGGTAAGGGAGCCAATTGTGGGTACTAGTGTTTCTCTAATTGGCCCTATCTTCATTTTCAACTTTATTCATTATGGTCGTAAATTATTTTGATGCAAGGTTAGAACATAGATTTCGCCAAAAATCTTCACAAATATAACCACGAACATTTGTCTCAAATTAAAGTTAGGCTCTAGGGCCAAAAAACGGAATATTAGTGCCGTAACTGGCACACTTGCCCCAATGATTTTTTTACATAGGATTACGTCTTTCGGCAACATAATGGGGGAGCAATTTCAAGAAACCAAAATCGACTGCGTTACGAAAAGTGGTCAGGTTTAGACCACTTATAACTCTGTCAATAGCGGACGGATTTCAATCCTAAACAAGCCAAAAGATTGGAATTTTTTGTACGAAGCTCTACTTTATCAATTTTCAATAGGTTGGAAATTGGAAATTGGAAATTACACAAATGTCCATTTGTGGCAATGGTGATCAAAATTATCACCGATTGCCTACAAAAAGTGGTTTCCCTAACACAGTCACCAAATCTCGATAACTTTTTCAAAGGGACATATCAGCTTTTGTAAGCAATGCATTTGATCGTCGATTGGGCGTAACTGGTAGCTCACACACGGTTACTGACTCCACTAGCAGGTAGGGGAAAATTTCCCCTATCTAATGGTAGCATGCGTGGGCGAGCTACCAGTTACGCCAAATCGACGATCAAATGCATTGTTTTCAAAAGCTGATACGTCCCTTTGAAAAAGTTATCGAGAAATATTGATACCGAGTACGTAATCCTGCGTCAAATCTACGGTCGTTTCTTGGATACAACCTCTTACTTTTTTTTTAAATTTTGGATACAAAATCTAATTAAGTGTTTTTAACTTAAATTACAAAAAATATCCTTATGCATAATTTAGATATTTTTAAACAACAGTTTATGAAAAATGCAATCTTTAAAATGTTGACACGTTGGACACCTCAAAATTGACAAAAATCGAAGAACAAAAACTCTTGGAACAAACATTTAAAGAGCCACATGTGAAAAGGGCATACAAGCTTTTTGTAAACAAACTGTGTAGGCTATTTTCTCGCCAACCGACGATCGCCTACGCAAACCAACAACATCATCGGGAAGGGGAAACCTTCCCCTACCCGCTTATGTTTATGGTTTGCGTTGGTGTCATATGGGTGGCGAGAAAAGGGCATAAGTAGGTTTTTTACAAAAAGCTTGTAAGCCCTATTCACATGTTGTTCTTGATTTTAAATATTTTTGTGAGACAGTGTGCACAGAAATCGATTCAAAAGGTCTCAAATATTGTTTTCTGTGCAAAGATAATTCAAAAATGTTCTTACAAAAAAGTTAACATATACGACCAAAGTTGTTGTTTTGCAATTTTTGTAAATTTTCAAGTGTCCAAGCTTTTAAATATTTCATACCTTTGCATTTTTGATTTTTTTTTTATTTAAATTAATCAGTGAGGTCCACGTTTAAGAAGTCTTGCTAACGCAGTACACTGAAACTTCCACTTACGAACCAAACCGGGGGTTCGAAAAACGAATTAATGCGTAAAAAAACCACATTATTTGGGATTCACTTCGTAAAAAGAGGTTTTTGAATGTATATTGTCAAATACCCCACAATATTCGAATTTTTGGAATCGGAGTCACTCGATGTCTGACGCCATTTTGAAATTCAACATGGTGACTTCCGGTTTTAGAAAAACATAAAGTACTATTAAATACCCCACAATATGGGTATTTTTGGAATCTGGGTTACGTGTAAGGACAGGAAATCTATGTATGGCGCCATTTTGAAATCCAATATGGCGGCTACCGGTTTAAGAAAATCAGAAAAATACTGTTAAATACCCGCATAATATGGGTATTTTCGGAATCGGGGAGACGTGTACCGACCGGAACTCGAAGTCTGACGCCATTTTGAAATTCAACATGGGTGCTTCCGGAAGTTGCACTACCCACGGAAGAGCAGCTTGGCGCAGCTTCTCTTGAAGATGGCTGGAGGGACATCCGTTCAGCCATAGGTAGTACTGCTGTAGCGGCACTAGGTACTGCAATCCCGGACCGAAGAAATGACTGGTTTGACGGCGAATGCAAACTGTTAGTAGAGGAGAAGAATGCAGCACGGGCGAGAATGCTGCAACACCGCACGAGATTGAATGTGGAGCGATACAGACAAGCGCGGAACAGACAAAACTCGGTTTTCCGAAGGAAGAAGCGTCAGCAGGAAGATCGAGATCGCGAGGCGATGGAAAATCTGTACCGCGTAAACGACACACGGAAGTTCTACGAGAAGCTAAATAGTTCGCGCAAAGGCTACGTGCCGCAAGCCGATATGTGCAAGGACTTGGACGGTAACCTTCTCACGAACGAGTGTGAGGTGATTGAGAGGTGGAAGCAGTACTATGACGAGCACCTCAACGGTGAAGCAGCAGAAAACGAAGGTGGCACGGCAACAGACCTTGGAGCACGCGCAGAAGACGACAGGCTACCGGCCCCTGATCTTCAAGAAGTTGAGGAGGAGATCGGTCGGCTGAAGAACAACAAAGCAACTGGTGTAGATCAACTACCAAGTGAGCTATTGAAATACGGTGGTGAAGCACTGGCTAGAGCGCTGCACTGGGTAATTGCCAAGATTTGGGAGGAGGAGATATTACCGGAGGAGTGGATGGAAGGTGTCGTATGCCCAATCTACAAAAAGGGCGACAAGTTGGATTGCTGCAACTACCGCGCGATCACACTGCTGAGCGCC